GCTCTAGAATTTTCTAGAACCTCTCCAATTAAGGAGGGATCCTAACAAATCTCCCCCTCCCGACTTAATTGGGGGGCAGTAGTAGACCTGCACCTTGACAGCAATCTTCAAACTTCTTTGTCGGTATTACCTTGGTCATCATGTCTGACCAGTTCTCGTCTGTGTGAACCTTGTCAAGATGCAATTTCTTTTCCTCGAGGACTTCTCGGATCCAATGATATCTTGTGTCAATATGCTTCGTGCGGGAATGAAATGTTGAGTTCTTTGCTAAGTATATTGCGCTTTGATTATCACACTTTAACACATACCTTTCTTGATCTACTCCCAGCTCAAGAAGCATGTTCTTCATCCACAGCATCTCTTTGCAAGCTTCAGTAGCTGCAATGTACTCCGCCTCTGTGGTGGATAATGCGACACACTTTTGCAGTTTTGATTGCCAAGAAACGGCTCCCCCTACAAAAGTAGTTAGGTATCCAGATGTTGATTTCCTTGAATCAATATCACCAGCCAAGTCTGCATCTGTGTATCCCTCTAACACAGGTTTCCCTTTTCCAAAGCATAAGCATCTTTTGGAAGTTCCACGTAAGTATCGGAGGATCCATTTGACCGCTAGCCAATGTTCATTCCCGGGGTTGGCTAAGAAGCGGCTGACGACTCCAACTGCATAGGCGATATCTGGTCTTGTGCATATCATCGCATACATGAGACTGCCTACTACAGATGAATATGGAATCTTCTTCATCTCCTCCATTTCTCTCTCACTTGTGGGACTTTGCTTCGAACTCAACCTGAAGTGTCCAGCAAGTGGTGTGTTAACTGGCTTACATTTGTCCATGTTAAATTGTTCCAACACTTTCTCTATGTATCTCTCTTGGGATAGCCACAACAGTCTCTTTGATCTATCACGAGTTATTCTCATCCCAAGGATTTGTTTAGCCGGTCCCAAATCTTTCATGGCAAAACTCTTGCTTAGATCTTTCTTCAAAGCAGCTATCTTTATGCGATCTTGTCCAACAATCAACATATCATCAACATAGAGTAGAAGTATGAGGAAGTCGCCACTTGCATACCTCTTTATGAATACACAATGATCGCTTTCTGTCCTTTTGAATTCATGTTCTGCCATGAAGAATTCAAACTTCTTGTACCATTGCCTAGGTGCTTGCTTAAGGCCATATAAACTCTTCGTGAGGCGACACACCAAATTTTGTTTGCCCGGAACTTTGAATCCTTCGGGTTGCTCCATGCAGATCTCTTCCTCTAGGTCACCATGTAGGAACGCCGTCTTGACATCGAGTTGTTCAATCTCTAAATCTTGAGTTGCTGCTATGCCAAGGATAACTCGAATGGATGACATCTTTACCACGGGTGAGAATATTTTTTCAAAGTCAATACCTTTTTCTTGACTGAATCCTTTAACAACCAACCGAGCTTTATAACGAGGCTTTGTGTTGTTATCTTCGGTTTTGATCCGGTACACCCACTTGTTCTTTAAGGCTCTTCTCCCCTTTGGCAGCTCTACGAGTTCATAAGTGTGATTCTCATGCAAGGATTGCATTTCTTCTTGCATGGCTTTCCTCCACTCTTCTTTATGAATATCCTTGATTGCTTCTTTATAGCTTTGAGGCTCCCCCTCATCAGTGAGCATAACATACTCCTCAGTGTTATACCAAGTGGATGGTCTTCTTTCCCTTGAGGAACGCCTCGGTTCTGGTGCTGGTAGAGAACTAGATTGAGGATCTTCCTGAGCTGGTTCATCATGAGTCTCCTGGTTGTTTTGCTCTAACACAGGCTCATCTTCTTCAGGATCATTATCTTGATGTGTCTCATTATTCTCATGTTGAACTGGAGTGAGTTCGGTACTCTTTTTCAATATTGGCTTCTCTGAGTTTTTAATGTCTTCGATTGTTTGGTCTTCGAAGAATACAACGTCTCTACTACGGACCACCTTCTTATTTATTGGATCCCATAGCCGATAGCCGAATTCATCCTTGGGTGAGCGGAGATAGATGCACTCCTTCGTCTTTGCATCAAGCTTTGCTCGCTCATCTTTGGGGATATGAACAAATGCCCTGCACCCGAACACTTTGAGATGATTGTATGATGCCCTTTTGCCCGTCCAAACTTCGTCTTTTGCCCATCCAAACTTCGTCTGGGATGGTACCACCCAAAGGGACTGATGGTGTGAGGTTGACAATGTCAACTACAGCCATTATAGCTTCTCCCCAAAATGACTTGGGTAACTTAGCATGAGAGAGCACGCAGCGAACTCTTTCTTCGATTGTTCTATTCATTCTCTTAGCTAGTCCATTTAATTGCGGTGTCTTGGGTGGAGTCTTCTCTAACCTAATGCCATGTTTCTTGCAATAGGTTTCAAATGGACCTCTATATTCACCTCCATTGTCAGATCGTACACACTTGATCTTTCGTCCAGTCTCACGTTCTACCAGAGCGTGGAATTCCTTGAAGGCATCAAGTACTTGATCCTTTGATTTTAGCAAATGCAACCACACCTTCCTTGAATGATCGTCAATGAAGGTCACAAAGTACAGTGCACCCCCAATGGATTTCTCAGACATTGAGCACACATCAGTGTGTACAAGGTCGAGAATGTTCTTTCTCCTTACGGGCGGAGAAGATCTTTGAAATGCAACTCTATGTTGTTTTCCAGCTAAACAGTGAGCACAAGGATCAAGTGATTTACCTTTCACATTAGAGAGGAGTTGCTTACGAGCGAGTATGTGAAGACCCTTCTCACTGATGTGCCCAAGTCGTTTATGCCAAACCTCTATGTCATCAGTGGTTATATTTACCTCTCCTTTGCAAAGCTTAGCTTGCATTACGTACAAGGATCCTTCTTTCTTTCCTCGAGCAATAACTAGACTACCTTTGGTGAGCTTCCACTTTCCTTCACCAAAGTAATTCATCAGACCAGCATCATCTAACTTTCCAGCAGAGATAAGATTGAGGCGCATGGCCGGGACATGCCTCACATCTTTCAAGACTAGCCTACATCCGGTGCTCGTTGTCAGGATGATGTCTCCTATCCCGACGATCTTGCTTCTATCTTGATTTCCCATTTGAACGCTACCAAAGTCACCACTTTGGTAGGATGAGAAGAAACTTCCATGAGGAGTAACATGGAAGGAAGCACCAGAATCCACAATCCAAAAGCTATCATTATAAGCAATGTTTAGGATGTTACCTTCTCCAATGATATATAGATATTCTTTTCAACATATTCGGAGTCAAGTTTATTGAAAATTTTAAAACTTCAGAACTTGGAAGTCTATCACTCTATTTAACTTTTTGATTTTGCAAATTTTAATAAATTTGATGAATAAGAGGGTAGGGTGTGTTAAAACTTATGACACCAAGACCACTCATATTATACCTTCTTGATCTTACAACTACTACTGGCTTTGCAAATCATACGAAAAAAATTATTACCGAATAAACAAAAAGGAAAATGAAAATGAAAATTCATTTGTAGACTCTCTTTCTCTTCGTCTTTCTTTAATGTGAATGTTTGGTTACAATATAGAATAGAGGACCCTAATTAAGGTTGATTTTTTTCTTCCTTCATCTTATTTTTACGTTCCTGCTGCTATAAATGAGGAGATTTTGTCTTTTTCTTTGTACTTTTAATTTTGACATCTTGTTACTCTTCAAATTGGAAACGAATACTCTCAAGTTTAACGTAACTGAGAAGTGGCCAGTTTAAGTAAAATACACGGTTAGATTACATAAATGGCCCTGATCTTGCCACCTCATGCACTGTTTAACTTTTGTGAAACTTTTGTTTTCGTAAACTCTTTGGCCTTCCTTCTGTGTTACGATAATTGTTCTACTGCTGAAACGTTTTTCCCGCAAACTTTTGGCTTATGGGTAAATTGATCACTACTTGAAAAATTCTGGCATTGCACAAAAGATTGTAAATGTGCTGATATCGTAGGTCTCGTCGTAACTTTGGTTGCTATTCTGACTCAAACAACACTGTTGGATCAGTGCATAAGAAAGTGACTTCTTGCCATCACTTTGATGATGAGTTACGTTCAATTCGAAGATGGATGGTGTAGAAGATCACATGCTGCGAAAGGGGAACCACCACGTTGTTGCAAAAGAGTTACCGTTGCATCTCCTGCAGTTTACATATATACACACTTGGTAGTGTTGTTGGAACCTCTGACCTGTGTTTGAGGAGTCAAATTATTTGCTTGGAGGTGCAACGAGAGTCTAGTTTTTCAGACTCTAGTTTGCCTTGTCTTTTTGCTATTTTGGCTTTTTCAGATTCCCATTGACAGGTGGTGGTGCAAATCCATTTTATCGAGAGCTGTAGCCATGTTCAAGATATGTGAAATGCTTCCACTCAACAATATATGATTTTAGTTTTATTAAAGACCAAACATTAGTTTAACACAGTCAAAAATCAAACTTGAGAAAAATAAATAATGCAAGCATATTAGAGAGGAAGGAGAAGCCAAAGAAGTTCGTGGGATAAAACGTAATGCAGTTACCGTAACTGGGAAGGGAAGCCAAAGAGTTTACAAAAATAAATTATGCTATGAAGATCTCATTAAATGTGAAGCATTCTGTTCCTAGCAAGATGAAAACTTCTAAAGATGAAGATATCACCTTACAACAAACAGGCTACAGAAGAACTACTAAACCACTTCTATATATCGTAAAACTACCAATCAAAAATGATACAACTTCTAACACATTGCAATCACCTTGAGCCTTATCCATCTAAAATCCAACCTGGACATTTATAAGGTTGCCCAGAAGGCTATTACAGGGTAAAGTCTGAAATATTTCCCAAGCATTAAAACAAGTAAAAACATAAATAAAAGATTTGATAGATCATAGAATCAAACTTCAATAGGATAGATAAAATCAAGAGAATAACTCGTCATGGAATTGAGTCTTTCAAATGCCTGTAAATTTGTGAACAGGAGCAATATGAAAAACTGCCTCCAGCATTATAGAAAGCCAGTATAGCTTATCATTTTAATCAATGAAATTATTAGTAATACTTTCTTAACATTATTCCTGTTTCCGGTCTACATAACTTTATTTTTCTTTTAGAAGAACTTTATTCATTCATCCATAGATAAAACAGAAAGCAGAAGAGAAAATAAGCTGATGCTTGCAAACAAGCATTGATATGCAATCCCAAAAATCGAGTTCTAAATCCTAACTCAAGATAAATTCTTTCTAACAGCCTTTGGGCTTACTACCTAGATTTGGTTTCAAACTGGAATTTCTCCTACTATACTTGAAGAAATAGCGATCCTTGCATCGTTGTTCTTCCCTATGCAATGCAGAATCTGCTTGCTTGCGATTAAGTTCCACACTATTATCTTCAGTGAAGTTTATCAGACGACCAGAACAGCTTCCCTCCCCTTCCTTCACCGGCTCTTCTCCATCTTTTGAACCAGTTTCCATGTCACTTATGCCAATGCAGAGAAGATTCAGATCAGTTGAAGAACCACTATCCAGAGATCCTACATATTTACAAGTATTATTATGTTGATGACCACCACCATCATTCCTTGAGTTGACACTCGAAGTAGAAGCACCCCTCCTTGGAGTATCCAAGTAACTTATGCAGCAACTCTTGGGCAAGCTATTCAAACGTGGATGCAACTCAAAAGTCAACTCAGAACCATCAAGAACTTTAACAGCATCAATCTTGAAAGGCTCTTCCCTATTTGTTACTAAACTCAAAGCATTCTTCGTTGCCCCCTCTCTAGCCCTAGCAGCAACCTCAACATTCTCCTCCATTGACTGCAAAACCCTAGAATTTCCCTTCTCTAACATAACCCTACCATTTTCCCCACCCTTAAGTTTTGATTTTCTTCTTCTTGAAATTGCCACGTGTTTAGGAATCCAACAATCGACACAGACAGAAAAGTCAGAAGCATAGGACCACGGAGGGGCGTTTCTGTGCTTGAAGAAACAAGATTTGTGCACAGAGAGCTGTAGCCATGTTCAAGATATGTGAAATGCTTCCACTCAACAATATATGATTTTAGTTTTATTAAAGACCAAACATTAGTTTAACACAGTCAAAAATCAAACTTGAGAAAAATAAATAATGCAAGCATATTGCCTTTCACATTAGAGAGGAGTTGCTTACGAGTGAGTATGTGAAGACCCTTCTCACTGATGTGCCCAAGTCGTTTATGTCAAACCTCTATGTCATCAGTGGTTATGTTTATCTCTCCTTTGCAAAGCTTAGCTTGCATTACGTACAAGGATCCTTCTTTCTTTCCTCGAGCCATAACTAGACTACCTTTGCCGAGCTTCCACTTTCCATCACCAAAGTAATTCATCAGACCAGCATCATCTAACTTTCCAATAGAGATAAGATTGAGGCGCATGGCCGGGACATGCCTCACATCTTTCAAGACTAGCCTACATCCGATGCTCGTTGTCAGGATGATGTCTCCTATCCCGACAATCTTGCTTTTATCTTGATTTTCCATTTGAACGGTACCAAAGTCACCACTTTGGTAGGATGAGAAGAAACTTCCATAAGGAGTAACATGGAAGGAAGCACCAGAATCACTACAAGATTAAATATTTTTCGTAACGACATTTATTGTTTTTAGTTTTATTAAAGACCAAACATTAGTTTAACACAGTCAAAAATCAAACTTGAGAAAAATAAATAATGCAAGCATATTAGAGAGGAAGGAGAAGCCAAAGAAGTTCGTGGGATAAAACGTAATGCAGTTACCGTAACTGGGAAGGGAAGCCAAAGAGTTTACAAAAATAAATTATGCTATGAAGATCTCATTAAATGTGAAGCATTCTGTTCCTAGCAAGATGAAAACTTCTAAAGATGAAGATATCACCTTACAACAAACAGGCTACAGAAGAACTACTAAACCACTTCTATATATCGTAAAACTACCAATCAAAAATGATACAACTTCTAACACATTGCAATCACCTTGAGCCTTATCCATCTAAAATCCAACCTGGACATTTATAAGGTTGCCCAGAAGGCTATTACAGGGTAAAGTCTGAAATATTTCCCAAGCATTAAAACAAGTAAAAACATAAATAAAAGATTTGATAGATCATAGAATCAAACTTCAATAGGATAGATAAAATCAAGAGAATAACTCGTCATGGAATTGAGTCTTTCAAATGCCTGTAAATTTGTGAACAGGAGCAATATGAAAAACTGCCTCCAGCATTATAGAAAGCCAGTATAGCTTATCATTTTAATCAATGAAATTATTAGTAATACTTTCTTAACATTATTCCTGTTTCCGGTCTACATAACTTTATTTTTCTTTTAGAAGAACTTTATTCATTCATCCATAGATAAAACAGAAAGCAGAAGAGAAAATAAGCTGATGCTTGCAAACAAGCATTGATATGCAATCCCAAAAATCGAGTTCTAAATCCTAACTCAAGATAAATTCTTTCTAACAGCCTTTGGGCTTACTACCTAGATTTGGTTTCAAACTGGAATTTCTCCTACTATACTTGAAGAAATAGCGATCCTTGCATCGTTGTTCTTCCCTATGCAATGCAGAATCTGCTTGCTTGCGATTAAGTTCCACACTATTATCTTCAGTGAAGTTTATCAGACGACCAGAACAGCTTCCCTCCCCTTCCTTCACCGGCTCTTCTCCATCTTTTGAACCAGTTTCCATGTCACTTATGCCAATGCAGAGAAGATTCAGATCAGTTGAAGAACCACTATCCAGAGATCCTACATATTTACAAGTATTATTATGTTGATGACCACCACCATCATTCCTTGAGTTGACACTCGAAGTAGAAGCACCCCTCCTTGGAGTATCCAAGTAACTTATGCAGCAACTCTTGGGCAAGCTATTCAAACGTGGATGCAACTCAAAAGTCAACTCAGAACCATCAAGAACTTTAACAGCATCAATCTTGAAAGGCTCTTCCCTATTTGTTACTAAACTCAAAGCATTCTTCGTTGCCCCCTCTCTAGCCCTAGCAGCAACCTCAACATTCTCCTCCATTGACTGCAAAACCCTAGAATTTCCCTTCTCTAACATAACCCTACCATTTTCCCCACCCTTAAGTTTTGATTTTCTTCTTCTTGAAATTGCCACGTGTTTAGGAATCCAACAATCGACACAGACAGAAAAGTCAGAAGCATAGGACCACGGAGGGGCGTTTCTGTGCTTGAAGAAACAAGATTTGTGCACAGAATGGTGACACTGACTGCAACGAAATGATTCGGCAGACGCTCCGGAAAAACAATAGGAGCAAATTTGGGAAGATTGGACTGAAGAAAAACAATTTTTGCAAAGAAGAACAACGCGCCATTCGCTATAAAGGGGTCGGAGTCTGTTCTTACCTGTGCAGACGTCGAATTTGAAATCACAGGCGTGACATTCGGTTAGGTTGGGCAAATCCCTAGTTTTCTTCTGCAAAGGCTTTTCCGGTGACTCTTCCCGTGCCTCTGTCACCTTCTTGGATTCGAGGACCTTCATCGCCGATTCAACCTTTTGATTTGGAAGATCAAATGTCAAGGGTTTTCACATTTTGGACATTTGGGACTTCCTTCGGTATTCTCGTTCAAAGGCTACGCGCTAGCATTGCGAGTACCACATTTAGATGTATTTATGTGTTTTATCTTTTTTAAATAATTTTAAGAGTTAATCCAAAAATATTTTTATATTAACAATCAATCATATTTTTTAATAATAATATATTATTTATTTATTTAATTAAATAAAAATAAAATAATTTAAAAGATACAATTAATATTAATAATTAATCATATTTTTTAATAATAACATGTCATTTATTTATTTAATTAAATAAAAATAAAATAAAATAATTTAAAAAATATGATTGATTATTAATGTAAAAAAATTTATATTAACAGTATATTGATAATTAATTTTAATTTTAAACTCTCTTGTTAAATCTTCCTGCTAATCCTCTTATTTAGTATTAGATAGAGAATATTATTTAATATTTTTTATAAAGTATTAAAAATATTTATAAGAATGAAATAGTATAATATTTTACTGGATAAAAAAACTAGGATCTTTTTCAAAAATAATTTAAAGTCCAGCATAATTAAAATAATAAGTAATCAATATCAACATGAGTGATAGTAATTTATATTTTTTAAGTGGATTTCTAAAATTATAATTTTGATCCTAAATATAAAATATATTATATTGAGAAAGTTATATTTATTCTATATATGCTAACAACTTTTAATCGACATTAAATAAAATGAATTATATTAAAAACATATTTATCTTATATATATTTATTGTCTTTAATAAAAAATAATAAGCACTTTTGATAGTACATAATTCGTATAAATACTGTAATTATTATAAATAAAATAAAATAAAATAAAATAGGAGCAGCCCACTCGGACCAAATAAGGTCTAGCTACTATTGTATATAATTAATTACTTCTACAAGTGACATGCACCGTACTCTACTAAATAAAGAAATCTCCTTGATACAAATATATGATTTTGATTCTTCTGTAAAAAAAAAATGTTAATTTTTTTTATTGACGGGATACATGACCATAAACCACTAAATTAATAATATTTTTTCATTTATGATTGAAATTTATAATATATATTTTAAGTAAAATTAAAATTATACATATAACTATTATTATTAAAAAATAGTCTCTCGTCACTCTTTCGATTAATTCACTTTTTACATTACTATCTCTAATTCTGAATATTAGGGGGATAAAAAAGCATTTCACGTTAGCTAAAAAAACTTGTTAACATTATTTAATCTTTTTAATATTATATAAAAAATAATTTATTTTTCTAAACTATTATTTCTTTAAACTCAAAATCCAGAATGAAAAAAAATATATTAAAAATATAATCTAAATTAAATGAAATAATATTGAGATGACAACATTAAATAAAATGAAATTAACTTAAATTTACATATATTTTAGGAAAAAAATATGAGATTTTTTTTTGTTTATATTCAGAATTAAAGGGAGTATCCTTTTTCTCTTTATATTTTTTTAAAAGTATAAGAATATTACAGAAATAGTTACATTAAAATCAAATTTAGGTTCACATTGCTTTTACTACCAAAACTTCTTCTTCCCTGACCATTAAATTAACTATATGATTATCCACATCACCTAAGAAAGTGAGGGTTTTTTTTATAATATTAAGTTAATATTATTAGTGTGCTATTATTTATGAATTTAATTTTAAATTATATTTTACTTAAAATATAACTATTATTATTATTATATTTAATTATTTTAAGTTAAAATGTTGTTGTCTTGAAAATATTATTGCAAGTATCTTCAAATTTAAACCAAATTAATTTTTTTTATTATTTTGATTCATTTATAATATAATAAATAAAGTGAATATGATATTTGCAAATTTACTTATTTTAAAAAAAAAGTGAGTTAATAAGTTACAACTATAATTTTTGTTTAAATGCATCTAAGTGTAACTTATTAACTTACTCATTTAAAAAAAAATTGTACGTAAGTTAGCAAATGTCTATGAAATTTACTAATATATATGTTTTTATGTTTAGGTTTTAAAATGATAATTTGGTTAATAAAATATTTTTTAAACTGTTATTAAAACTAAAAATATTAAAATTAGAAAACCAAAAATTTGAATTTATAGGCATTATTAGGGTAAAAAAAATAGCCAATCAACCAATTAGAAACTAATACGGGTGTAATGTTTTTCATGTAATTATCATAATAAAGTTATTAGTTACACTCTCTAATACTTTTTTTCATCTTTGTTTTGTCTAAAATTTATTTAAAATCACAATTTTGTTGGTTTTTTTTTTAATTTAGTGTCGAAATGTATAACATTCTTTTTATTATTAAAGTCAACAATATTATTATACTTAGTAGTCTACTGTTGATTAAAAGAATTAAAAAATATTTTTACATCAAATCATTGGTACATTTATTTGTATATATTTTTACTCTATTTGACCTGTATATTCTTAATAATTTTTCCTTTCTTTTCATTGAAAGAGCATTTTATACTATCTTTTATGCAAGAATGGTAACAAGATGGAATGGATATGAATTTTATTATTTTTGTCTATGTCCTCGTTCTCATATCCTATACCTATTATTATCTTTATATCATATGGGTATAAAATTTGTGTTTCTATTTTTGTCCTCATCAGATATCAAGTATATATGTACTTGTCTCGTATTTTAACAAAAATTAAATGAATATTTTTAAAAAATATATTAAAAATAATAATTTTGGCATAAATTAATATTTATAAAATTACATTAATTAAGTTTTATTTGTCATAAATTTAAAATAGAGTAAAGTTATATAAATGTCAAATAATTTTTTTTTAAAATAAATTAAATTTATAAAAATTTAAAACAAGTATGGTACACACTTGGTAGTGTTGTTGGAACCTCTGACCTGTGTTTGAGGAGTCAAATTATTTGCTTGGAGGTGCAACGAGAGTCTAGTTTTTCAGACTCTAGTTTGCCTTGTCTTTTTGCTATTTTGGCTTTTTCAGATTCCCATTGACAGGTGGTGGTGCAAATCCATTTTATCGAGAGCTGTAGCCATGTTCAAGATATGTGAAATGCTTCCACTCAACAATATATGATTTTAGTTTTATTAAAGACCAAACATTAGTTTAACACAGTCAAAAATCAAACTTGAGAAAAATAAATAATGCAAGCATATTAGAGAGGAAGGAGAAGCCAAAGAAGTTCGTGGGATAAAACGTAATGCAGTTACCGTAACTGGGAAGGGAAGCCAAAGAGTTTACAAAAATAAATTATGCTATGAAGATCTCATTAAATGTGAAGCATTCTGTTCCTAGCAAGATGAAAACTTCTAAAGATGAAGATATCACCTTACAACAAACAGGCTACAGAAGAACTACTAAACCACTTCTATATATCGTAAAACTACCAATCTCTACGTTACTATATATCTAGGTAATCTATGTTAATAAAAAAAAAGTGATACCACTAATAGTAATTGCTTCTTATGCTAATTTTTATGTGAACATATCTATCTCTATCTATAGTATATATAAAGAGTATAACTTCTTTCTTTTCTTTACATGCAAATTTTATTATGAAAATTTATTATTCTTGATTCGTTATTTTTATTTAATAAAAGAATTTTACATTTTGACATTTGGCACAGGCAATCTCTTTTTTTTGGTGCCTACTTTACTTTTTCTTATGCATAGAGTGTAGCACGTACGGCATTGACAATTTGACATCATTCACGTAAAATAAAAATTAATAAAAAAATAGAACATAGAGTGGTTGATTATACACCATCAAAGTTTAAAGAAATACATCTGATGGCTGCAAAATGTTTCCCATGGTGGAAGATATGCTTAACTTTTCCACCTTAGAATCCGTTAGTCAAATTTAAGTTAAATTCATCTGTACAATAATTTAGTTTAATCTAACTTTTGGTAATCACCTTACCATCTTTTTAAAGAAATTATAATATAATATTTTTTCGTTTTAGTTTTATTTTTAAATAAAATGCAAACATAAATTTTTTCTATATCTTTTTAAAAATCAAATAATTAATTATATTATTTTAATATAAAAATTATTGACAAATTTATTTTAACATACGTAAAACCGAGAGTAAATGTACGGGGTCGTTCTTGTTGACATAAAAAAACTCGGTGCAAATTAAATCATGTCTTGCATATGGGCTGCTTGGGCTTCATCTCAAGTTCGGCACAGGTTCGGTTATAAAGGCAGATGATAAACACACCTCCACCCTCGTATAAGCACACCCCCTTTTTTAAAAAATATATATAAAATGTCTAAATTACCCTTAAAAAAAATTCTTAAATTTACAACTCCTTCCCCACACCCCCCTTCCCCGCACCCCAACACCCCACACACCCCCTGCGGGAAGGAGAAGCCAAAGAAGTTCGTGGGATAAAACGTAATGCAGTTACCGTAACTGGGAAGGGAAGCCAAAGAGTTTACAAAAATAAATTATGCTATGAAGATCTCATTAAATGTGAAGCATTCTGTTCCTAGCAAGATGAAAACTTCTAAAGATGAAGATATCACCTTACAACAAACAGGCTACAGAAGAACTACTAAACCACTTCTATATATCGTAAAACTACCAATCAAAAATGATACAACTTCTAACATTTGGTCCCTACAAAATTTTGGATCGTGTGGGTGTAGTAGCTTACAAAATTGAACTTCCAGTTCAGTCTAAAGCGCATAATTTTTTCCATATTTCACAGCTTAAAAAACATGTGGGAAATGCAATAACTTCCAGTAAAGTTCCATATGAAACTTCCATATGAAACTGACGATGCTTTTGCTGAAAGGGAGCTTGAAACAATACTAGATCGGATGACAGTGAAAAGAAATGGTATTGCAGTGACTAAGGCACTTGTTAAATGGAAGCATCAACTTCCAGAAGATGCCACGTGGGAATTTTATTATGATTTGAAGAAGAAGTTTCCATTATTTCATTCTTGAGGACAAGGATGCTTCCAAGGGAAGGGCATTGTTATGAAATAATTAAATAAGATGCTAACAGCTGTAGTTAATTGAGGGTTTGTTAAGTTGTCAATTTAGAAGTTAGTTTCAATGGTTAGAATATTATAAATAGGAAGTTGTTGTTAGAATTTTCTACGGAAAAAAACTTGTAAACTCTCTGTCTTCTCCCTCTCATTAATAAGAAATTCAGACTCTTCGTGTTTTGGTAACACCTAGAACTATTTCTATACATATCACGGAGCTTCAGAATGAGGGAGGCGCCGTTGACTAGAGTGTGAGGTTGAAGTATTCGGTGTTCGAAGGCGATGTGGATGGTCTTCACGAGGTGTTGGAGTCTGGTGTTAGTGTCAATTTCAGGGATATTGATTAATTATCGCACTACTCTTCATGTTGCCGCGTGCGAGGGATTCACTGAGGTCGTTGAGTTTTTGCTCCAGAATTTGTGATTTGATGTTTGGCTATTGGCATGGTTTGGCTGTGTTGTTAATTCCGGTTTCGTGTGTGATTTAATAAGATTTTCTTTAACTACACCTCTTTTATTGTCCACTATTAGATTTTTTAACACAAACTTCTAAATTATTTTGATTTCTCCTTTTCCCCCTTTCATTTATTATAATAAGTTCTAATTAATGATTTTAGTATGTTTTATTAACAGCTATAAGCTGTTGTTGTGCTGCAAAGTAACAAATTTTTATGATAAATTTGTTTGTTTCCATGTCTTGGGAACATAATTGTTGTGAAATTAGCTAATTTCTGTATCATAAGGTATTTGGCTACTATCGAGTATCTAAACTCTAGTATAGACTTATTTCGCAGATTCAGTTAAATGTTATATGTTTGTTTGTTCATAATTACTTAAGTTCATGAATCATCCGCAATCTATCCTATCGAAGTTTGATTCTATGATCTATCAAAACTTTTACTTATCTTTTTACTTGTTTTAATGCTTAGGAAATATTTCAGACTTTACTATGTAATAGCCTTCTGGGCAACCTTATAAATGTCCAGGTAGGATTTTAGATGGATAAGGCTCAAGGTGAATGCAATATGTTAGAAGTTGTATCATTTTTTATTGGTAGCTTTACGATATATAGAAGTGGTTTAGTAGTTCTTCTGTAGCCTGTTTGTTGTAAGGTGATATCTTCATCTGGTTATAAATTAATTGTGGGTCATGTTGGTCATTGGGTTTTGACAACTTTGTTGCCTAAATCAGAAATTGGGCTGAATTTTCCTTTTACTTCGTTCAATTTTCTATTTCTTCTTTCTTGTATTTTTTTTTTAATTTATCAATTTCCTCTTCATTTTTAATAAGATTAAAATTGATTTTTTAAATGATAATAAGACGAAATAAATACTTAGATAAAAAGTTGAGTATTCATATGGCACAAGAGAATTCGATATTTAATTGACAAAGTAGCGGGTACCAAATTGAACAATATCATATTTTAAGTCACTTAAGTGCCAAATTTGTCTCCCACATGTATTCTTCTTCCTTTTTTCTCTAAATTCTCTTTTGGTTTGGATATTAAATATGTCCGCAATATAATTTAGGAATAAATTATACGATTAACATCATATGAAAAGAAAAACATTTTTTTTATTGATTATTGCATTGTTTATTTTCAAGATTTTGTTACTAAACAGAAATTGGTAAAAAAAAATTCAAAAATTACTAAGAAAAATAATTTTTTTGTAATAGAATAATACTAATAAAAAATGTATTCAACTATTAAAAGCGATATATATATAATAATTTTTTTGTTAATTTACATTTGCTATCTAATGTATTAATTAATTAATCTCAGTAAACACTTAATTCAATTTGTTAAGTTATAACCTTAATATCGAAGTCTTTTACCTACTATCTACCTTCTAACTTATATGCCTATGAGGCTATCACTTATGCAAAATACGCTTTTATTATTTTGAATTGAGTAAATAAATTCTTTTTTTAGAGCTGAAATCTCATAACTCGTAATTGTATTTGTCAGATATTAGTATTGAGATTTAGTAACAACCACAGATTTGAACTTGCTAAAATACTGAACCCCTTAAGAAAAAAAAAAGGTGTGAATATTTTTGGGTCAGTGCACCTAACAAGTGTGCATATATGAGCAATGATGACACTTAAACTTGCTAAAACGTACGTGCTTTTCAGTTTTCCAGCACTAGCTACCAAAAACGGCCGTCGCACGTTGTTTTATCTAAACTAATATCTATTGTAGAAGTTAGAGCACAAATATGTTGAAAATTTAGGCACGTGAAGTATGATTAGAATTTTCTTCTTCACCTCCTTCGTTTCCTTAATCGTGTCAATGTGAATTATGCTCTTCGTGTCCATCGTCGTTAATATCCCTATCTACTTGTGCACCATTTTCATGGGTTTCGTTTCTGTTGCTTTTATCTTCTACTTGAGAACTAACCACTATTTCCACCGTATTAGATTCGTTCGGACTTTCTGCTGGCATTAATTGATTCTTCTTCTGCATCTCTTTACTTTTGCCCCATATAACCACATATAACCCACTCACAATCAGCACTGCTCCAATGATGCTGAAATTAACAAAAACATACAAGTTAATTGGTTTAAGTTAAGCAACAAACGAATATTTTATGTAATATATATGTAATACGGAACATTAATTAGTGTATATGGCCCACATCTTCAGTTGAAGTTACACTAAAGATATTTTATGCAGTGTTAAGTTGTGCGTCACTAGATCGTTTAGCAGCATTAAATGAATAATTATCAAGCTTACCTAACTACAGATTGTGGACGATAAATATTGAAGTTATAATGCACTTTAGAAACCTTATTACAATATGATAATTATATTTGTGAAACGTATATATATATATATATAGTACCTTCCAAGGTGTAGCTTCTCGTTCAACATGGTAGTACCAGCCAAGGCCACCATGACAAGCATTAGGGGGTTAAAAACAGAGGCAAACAATGGGCCTCTCATCTTGATGCACCACGAAATCACAACCACCATCACCCCAGAAACCACCACACCCTACACCATGTGAAATTTATTTAATTATATTCATGGAAAAATATAATGTCATAGAATAATAGTGAATAGCATATATAATTATATATATATATATATATATATACCGAATAAGCTGCAGTAAAAAGTCTAATATTCCAACCCAACCTCCACTGACTCCAGTCTCTCTCAAGGCAAAGTGCGAACACAGTGGACTGTATTGCTCCCCACAGTGACATCAATGCCGTACTTGAGTAAATACAAGGGTATCTTTCACTCATCTTCGCCTGAGCAGAAATAATTCAAGATATATATTAATTATGAATATAAAATATGTTTATCAAAATTAAACTATTTCAATGACACCTGACAAACAGCCACTCAAATGAAGGTAGTGAGATAAGTAAGAGAAAGAAAAAATAAATAATAAATGAGATGTACGAGAAGGCGTAAGAAAATGAGGGTTAAATTAGCAAAAGCAAAAAGGACCTGAGTGATGAGCCACAATGCATAGCTGATGCCACTGGCTAGGGCGAATAGAGCACCCAAGATGTGTTTAGCACTTGTTGCAGTGTGCGCACCGTTTTGGTGATGCAAAAGGTTTAAGTGGAAGGTCCCAAAATTGATTTCCTTTCCTTTAACGAAAGTAAGTACCATTGCACCACTGATTCCAATTAATGTACCTACTATTTTCGCCTTCCCTGCTGCTGTTCCCAAATTTAATCTTTCCAAACTGCAAAACAGTTTAATTATTTTATTTAATCATTCAATTTGTTTTTTTTTTTCTTTTCTTATAATTATTATTTAATGGACTGAGAGAAAAAAAAAATGAACAGAAAAGAAATTGGAAGAGGTGGAGGGTATACCCGAAGGAAACGGCCAATATAAAGGTTATGGCGGGTACAAGGTTAGCCATTGCGGATGCAAACGTTGCGGAAGTTAAAGACAGGGCTTGTAAGTAGAAATTTTGAGCTAATGTTCCCCTGCATATTAATGTTCAACACAAATTATAACCAAAACAATTCAATCACTGTTAAAAAATGAAAAAAAGAATGTTAAAATTAGACACTCTAGAGGTTCCTTAAGAGAGATCAGAAGAAATCAAATATAAATAATTTACGAGAATACAGAGATAAAGAGAAATTCTGAATTTTAATAAACTATTTCATTTATTTGATGTGTCCGAAATCTTCACGGTGAGAAAGTTTGTTTTATTTATTTATAACTTATACATTACTTTAGTATATAAACCTATTTACTAATATATTACAAATGTTTGATAAGTTTGTAACTTTATCCTTACTATTTTAATATATTTTTTTTCTTAATCATTTTTATGGTACATTCTTTTAACTATTTCAATACATTTCCTTGTCTATTTTAAAAGATCTCCGTATTATGTTAAGTTTTAATAAATATTTAATCCTTAAAATAGGTTAATATAATTTAGAATTAATGAAAAAATTAAACTATGACTATATGAAAATATTTTTAAATTATTGTAGTAATTACCTAAAATTATATTGTTTTATAAAATACATATCTCTAATATATATACTTTCTATTTATCAACCATTTCAATAATTCTTTTATCAAAAAATCGCAATTAAACAAAGTATTACCCTAAAAGATGACAAAGAATTTGAACTTGAAAATAACATTCTCTTTGAACTATCAAAATCCCACGCGCACATCTGAACCTATGAAAATGTTGTTGTATTTTACATTGTAATAATAAATAGCGTTTTGTTTGTAGAAAATTCCTAAAAAGTTGGGACGTCATAGATGGATTGATATTGAAAATGTAGATCTAGAAAGATCACGAAAGTATAGGTAGGTGATGGTGCAGAAAGAGTCGCGCATGCTTAATTAAGAGTCCATGTGTACAGAAGAATTACCAAATTGATTAAAACTAAGCCGAAAGAAGAGCATGTAAATAAAGAATTAATTAAGACATGTGTTAATTAATTAATTACGTACCCAAATAAACCGCAAAGAAATGACTGAAACAGTACTGTCCAAGTCATGTTCAAATTTGTCCTCTTGTTCCTGCCAAGTGCCAATCAAAAAAGTGTGTTAGTTTGGTATTTGGTGTTTAATATTACATTACGTGCCAGTGTTGTAGTATAGGAAAGAGTAATAACAATCAAGAATTAAATTAAGCAAGGTTAGTGATGATTAATGAATGAATGAATGAACCTTTCAAGAATAAGGGCAAGTGGCGCGACAAAAGCTGTGGCGAATAAAAAACGATAGGCAACAATAATCCTCAAACTCATGCCATCGTTTACGACAATCTTATAGAAGATATTGACCCCAGCAAATGCTATCTGCACCACTATCATTAGAAGCACAGGCCTAAGGCCCTGCACCACATTGCACAATTTCTTCATTCTTATTTATGAGCCAACGCTACCACCACACCCACGCGTATGGCAGCGTCCAATTGAATTCTGCAGAATTCTATAATCAAAGTGTTTGGGTCTGGGTTATTATAGGTATATGATTAGACATGAGAGAATTAATGTTTTAGAGGAATTAATGAAGAGAGTGTTGCACAAATTGCGACTAGTGGAAGCCAGAGAGGGGTATTTATGCGCCAGGCAAATTCCAGAGTTAACTCCCACGTCACCCTCTCCAAATACCACACGCTTGACACGTGCCAAAAGCGTCTTCGTGGGGCAATACTCAATTTCCACCCTCCTCCCCTTCTGCTACTAACATGCCTTAGTATCGGTGTACTAGTGTAGAACTTGTCTTCTTGCGTGTTATAACTTACTACTACTAAATTTTTTTATTTATTTACTTTTTAAATATTAATAATAATAACTTTATTTGACAAAGTTATTATTATTATATTAAAAGTTAAAATATGATTATAAATTTGTTTAATTAATATTTACATGAAATATCAATAAATAAATAAATAAATAAATAAAAGTGGTATGTAAAAAATTAAGATTTTCGTATTTTTTAAAGATGACAAATTAAATATTTTGAAAAAACAAAACAAAACACTCGAGGAAACCTATAATTAATATAAAACAAAATAAACATTACTTTATTAGTGCCTTTGAGTATATATTTTCAGAATTTATAGTTTGTCCTTTACGGCTTAATCTATAGAAGAATTTGAGAAGCAAATACCATTTTGTATATTTGGTTAACACTCTAGAAATATCGACACAATTAGTTGCAGAAAGGTTCTGGTAAGTGGAGTTAGATTTCAATTAATTCGTCTAAGAATCAAAAGAGGATGACAAGTTTGCAAGTGTTGTCTTCTGCAGCTTCTGACGTGCTTCCAATTAATTGGAATCATGTTGATGGTGATATAAGCATGTGCATGCATGCTTGCAAGTGCCACTAAAAGACATAGGCATGTTATAGGACAAAGAACTTATAAAACTGGAAAGGTTGGTGTTCATTCCTAATCACATGGCTGGTCTTCATTGTGTTCATTTAGACAGTGCGCATAGGCTTTTGGTTCCGCCATTAGTTCCATCTAAGATTTATTACAACACCAACATGTTAAAATTTACTAAAAGAAATTGCAAAATTCGATAACTCTTACACCTTATATCTTATTTAATGGCTCAATTATGATTTTATAGCTCTAATGAATTTTAATTATTAAAAAAAGTATATTTAAACAAGTACACGTATTGTTAACTCTTCTTTCAAAATAAATATATCCTTGATGCATTGAGTAAGTGCCACGTAATAAGTGTAATCAATCCAATGTATTAAATTAGAAGAAAAAAAAACAATCTATTTGTTTAATATTGAACTCGATTAAATCTTGTTTATATTTCATTCAAGTCTAGCATGGATGTAGTTTAACAAAATTTAAAAACTTTTGACGAAACATAAAAGGATTATGTGGTTTGGATGGTTTTGGATGAAGAAAATGCATGAGATGCTTATATCTTGAAAACCACCTTCATGATAGACAAGAGATGGGAATATCTATGATTAATTACATCACTTTGAGATCCACATTGTTATTTAACTCGTGTGTTCGTACAATTAGTTTGTTGTTTTAACTGCTAGCTTATTTTGAGATTAACTCGCCGTGATGAATTATATCTAATCAAAAGTAATCCTTGATTGAGCCGTTCCTTCAAATTAAATTCATCCTATTATCATCGCAACTCCATGAAACTTTATAAAAGAATTTGATGAGCAACGTCCAAGTGGAGAATAATCAAGTTTGCTCTGCAAAATAATTTAACAATAAAAAAAGTATCAAGAGAAATACATTATTTGAAATAAATTTTTAAACGCATTCCTTTTAATTAGTTAAAAATTTATTAAAAATATTTATAAGCCTCTCATTTTATTTAATTAATCTGTATCTTAATTTTATAATTTTAAATTAATGAAAAATAGTATGTTGGATGGGATGTATTAAAAAATGTGTCAATATAGTTTTTAAAAAAATTTTAGTTGGAATATATTAACTTCTATCAAAACTTTTAAATAAAAAAAACAATCAACTCTTTTATTTCAATAAATTTAATTAAGAGATATTATAGTAATTTATTATTTTTTTTTTAAAAATCATTTTTCTCTCTTATTCACTCATTCTCTCTCCTTTTCATCACTAACTAATTTTTCGTTTTTGCCAACTCGTTCTCTCTTCTCCTTATTACTCACTCATTTGTCTCTCCTGTCAATTCATTCTTTCCCCTCTCTATCAATGGAAAAAGAACAATCATAGAAAAGGGAGAAATGAATGAAAAAGGAGAAAGAATTAGAGAATAAATGAGTTTTTTATTTGGTCCAAACTTTTTTTGATAAGTTACTAATATGGGCCAATTAAAATTAAGGTGACAGTATGATTTTTCAACCAAATATTCAGCATGTTTATCTTGGGGCGTAGGTTGATTATGTTATATGAGCAAATACACCCCAATTCTCCAAGTGACGGCCCGTTATGCCTCTTTTAATAGATTACGTTTTTACGATAGTTTTGGAATATTGTTTCAAATTTTAAATATCTAACACATTGTTTAAATTTGTACAGATATGATATCTTTTAAGGATGTTGTTTTGAATTAGAAATATTATTTTTATTTTATATATTTTCTTTCTCTTATAGTATTATGATGCAAAGTCAATAAATGGAGATTTTTTTAATCAGAAAAATCACTCTGTCTCCGGTGTAGATTGCCATCCTAAATAAATTTGGGTAACTTTTTTTTTTCTTCCATTTTTTAATTGTATTTCTTTTTGTGTGCGCGAGAAGTTTTTGTTACCCACATATAGTAAATGCACTTGATCATATCATTTAGTATCAATGTCCACATGAATTCATATTTTATATAAGTTCAATTTGTTTTCAACTATTTATCATGTATGGTTTGAGCACGAACATTCTTTGAGAGACAAAATGATATAACCAAAGCATTGCATAATGCATGTTGGATTCAATCCATAGTCCATAACAAATTAAGTTTTTAGTATGGTACCATATGGTGATACACAAGTGCTATTGGTTATACTGTTTGATAAAGAGTCGACATGAGTTCAATTTCCGGGTTTGGAATATTTTCCAATTGTCTCAAGGGTCGTGGGCAAACAATTTTTTAAGAGGAAGATCATGATATAATCAAAGTTTCATGACTAGAATGTAAACTAGCCGAAAAAAACACTATGAGGTGTTTTTAGCTAGTGAAATTAATTTATAAGTTAGTTTATTGAATTTAAAATATTTGATAAGTTTAGTTTATAAGCTATCTAATAAATGGTTTCTAATTAAAAAAAAAAAAAGAAAGAAATATTACAAGTAAATTAATGAAGATAAAAAGAAGAAAAAAGATAAGAGTTTATAAGATAAATGTCTTCAAATAATTTATGAGTGTGTTTAGTAAAACATTTCAAAAGTTTATAAATTTTTTTTGACTAACTTAAAAGTTAGTTTAATCAAAATAAAATTATTTTATCCGAGAATCATATGAGTTTATTTTAAAAATTTATAGCTTATTTTTATAAGCTAATTCAAATAATTTACAATTTATAAGTTTTTTTTTCTTTCTCCATTTTTATCATCATTAAGTTACTTGAATATTTTTTTTGCCTTTTTAATTTATAAAGTATTTTATCTATGTTGTAGTTTTCTCACTCTCATTTGTAAAAACTATTTTATGTCATTTTACAACTAGTTAATTAATCAACTAATTTTATCAAACATTTTTGTTTTAATCAACTAGTGTATAAATTTTTAACTTTTCAAACCTTAACTTATAACTAATAAATTTTTAGCTAATTTAAAAATTTTTAACTAATTTTACTAAATAAACTCTATAAATATAAGGAAAAAAAATCCTAAAATAAGATTTTGTATCAAATAAATTTATTTTTAAAAAAAGTGCTTATAAATTTATTAATGTCCTGTGAAAAATACTCACGATAGTTATTTAAGACCAAAATGAGTCATTCACATTTGGACTAAATGAGAAATATGCATATTTATATATAGAAACCAATATTTTATTTAACTTAGATTAATTACTGATTAGTTTACTTAAGTTGAAAAAAAATGGACTGTTTGTAGTTGTTTTTAAATAGCTGCAAACAATCTTAATTGAAAAAAAAACTAAAACTTGTCATTTAGCTTTTATAAATATATAATTTTTTTTATTGTTAATTCTAATAAATCTTTCTTATGTAATTGACCCGTGACACATCCACATGAATATCACATAGATACCTTATGTAATTTGGGTGAACTAGTCAACACTTGATAATCTCAACACCCAAAACTAAAATCATTGACAAAAATTAAATTAGGGACAAAAATATTAAATGAACTAAAAAAAACAATATTTTAGAGACCAAATATTAATAAATTGAAAATTTTACTAAAATTATAGTAAAAGTATATTAAAATTACAATTGTTATACGTGTTAATAAACATTTTTTTTAAATCCTTAATCTACTGAAGATATTATATATATATATATAATTTGAGTATTAGAAAGGTTTTCGTTATAATTGCATAAAATGTACGATGCCTATTATGTCATTCTTTTGTCTTGAAGCTATTATAAATCAAGGTTTAAAAGAGAAAAAAAAAATGGATGTTGAATGAGTGATGATTCTTTCTAACAAAACGTGGTGACTTTGGTGAAAGTTGTGATAAATTGTTTAAATGGAGATAAATAGCTTGTGTTCTGATTATCAACCTTTGTTGCGTATGCCCTTATGCTATATACACATCATTAATTCATATATATTAATCAGTAAATGAATGTAAATAACACAACATGAGATACTCCATCACTGTTTCAGTTCGTTTCTTCTCTAGATTAAAATAAACAATTAATCTTTTTTATTTATTATTAAAATCATTTATAATTTCTTAATATATCCTTTTACTTATTTTGTACATTACTTTGAAATTTCATATAGTATATTGTTCTCTTTTTTCATAGAATATAATTAAAAAAATTCATGTAGTATTATATGACATTAATATAATAGATTAAAAAATTTCCCTTTAAAAGTGACATAAAATTTGAAGGTTAGTATAATTATGTGATTAA